GTGGGACTAAAGGTGTGCACCACCACAACCCAACTTGTGTTCTGCTGTCCTTATTTTTTTTTTTTTTGTTTGTTTAATCAGTTTTGTTACCTGTGTCATCCAGAGTTGACCTTTTTTGTTTGATTGTTGGTATTGTTTTTCGGACTGGGTGTCACCTAGGCAGTCCTGGCTCTGGAGGAACTCCAACTGTGGACCAGACTGGCCTTGAACTCACAGAGACCCACCAGCCTCTGCCTTCTGACAGCTGCAATTAAAGACACAGCACCACACATACCTTAGACTTGGATTTTTAAATGTATTAGTAAACGAGCTTTTGCGAGTTGTAAGGAGGTAAAGATGGGATGTTGCTGGATGGAGATTCCATGCCTAGCACACCTGAAGCACTTGGGCTTTAGCCTCAGGCTTCATGAAGAAAAATAGACATAATATATTTCATTATGAGATATGCATACAAATGGCTACTCTGTGCTGCATACGCATTCACAAGTGTATCCTATGAACACAGAGGAAACAACAGTACAATGAAGGCCCCTAAGTCTGCCCAAATACTGTCTCCCGGGGATACTGTCTCCAAAGCTGCATTTGCCAGTCCCACTTCCTGATTTTTTCTAACCCATATAAAAATGGCCAAGAGACATTCAAGATTGAATTAAGGGTTGAACATCCACCAGGAATAAAAGACAGATTATTGATGTGTAGTGGTACACATCAATAATATTATGAACTCCCCAGGCAAGGCAGGAGGCTTATGGGGGCCTCTGGCTATGGAACTGACTTTGTCTCCTAAAGAATGGGACGTGGGGTGGGATGAGAATATAGTTCAGTGGTAGAGTGCTGGAGAGCATGCAGAATGCCCTAGTTCAATCCCTGATACCAACAACAACAAAAAACTGGACTTGAGTAGAGGAGTGGTGGCACACGCCTTTAATCCCAGCACTTGGGAGGCTGAGGCAGGCGGATCTCCATGTGTTTGAGGCCAGTCTGGTTTACAGATAAAGTTCCAATTTGACACCCAGCTTCTGTAAAAACGTGGTGTGAAAAAGCATGGCTCCTAAAATCTAGGTTGCCAGCTGTGGTGTTTCTGCTCTGTGAGCCAGCACTGGACAGGATGAAACTCACCTCTCAGGGCCAGCCTGGTCTACATAGCAAGTCCCACACCAACCTGGATTGCTCATACCAAAGCCTTGTGTCAGTAACACAAATAAAGAGAAAAACCGCAATGGCACTGGTAAAGCGTTGCTAATGTTTTCTGTGGACAGGATCTGGCTCTCCTCCTTAGGCTGCCTCACTGTGGAGTATCTTTGTTGTTTTGAAGTGGCCAACGAATCCTGCAGGAATGATGTCAGGTATATATCAGTCATTTTTGAGACTGGGTCTCATGTAGCCCAGGTTGGACTGTTAGTATGTACCTTGGCTGGTGCAGGATTCTCTTCCCTCTATGTAACAAAGTACTCTGTCACTGTGCCTGCAGGTTTTTCATTTTCTTTTTTTTCCTGCTTTTTTCAAGACAGGGTTTCTTTGTGTAAGAGTCCTGTCTGTCCTGGACCTTGCTTTGTAGACCAGGCTGGCCTTAAACTCACTGAGATCTGCCTGCCTCTGCCTGGATTAAAGACAGGCACCACCACTGCTTGGCCGCCTTTTCTTTTGTTTGATTCTTTTTATTTTTTTAATTTTTAACTTTTATTATTTATTTATTTATTTATTTTTGTTTGTTTTTTTCGAGACAGGGTTTTGCTTTAGTTTGGGAGACTGTCCTGGAACTATCTTTATTTAGTTAGAACAGGCTGGTGTCAAAGTTGCAGAGAACCCCAGTCTGGGGCTCTGATGTTAAGAGGGTATTGATGGTACACGCCTTTAATCCTAGCAGAGGCAGAGGCAGGCAGAAGTTCGTGAGTTCGAGGCCAGCCTGGTTTATAAGAGTTCACAGGACAGGCTCCGAGTTTCAGAGAAACCCTGTCACAAACAAACAAACAAACAAACAAACAAGAAGGTGTTCTTTTTTGGAGCCTGTCCTGGAACTTGTCCTGGAACTAGCTCTTGTAGACCAGGCTGGTCTGAAACTCACAGAGATCAGCCTGTCTCTGCCTCCCAACTGCTGGGATTAAAGGCGTGAGCCACCACCGCCAGGCTTTAACAAGAAGGTGTTCTGCCAGAGCTGGCTATAACCAAATTCAGATGAAGTGGGTGGAGACTGAAACAGCCAATCAGGTGGCAGTTGGTAGTTCGTTCTGGCCTTGCTTAAGGGGCGTGGAATAGAACGTTCTGTATAAATTTAGGCAGCCCATGGAGTGTATACTGAGTTTTCAGGCAGCCAGGTCAACAGAGGAACCGAAGAAGACAGTCCTGGAGACCGGAGCTACTTCTGGGCCTTACTGCGGATCTCTCTCTTCTGTCCAACTCTGGTAAATCACTTTAGCCCGCCAGTGGCAGTCATGCCTTTAATCCCAGAACTCTGGAGGCAGAGGCGGGAAAATTTTGTGAGTTCAAGGCCAGCCTGGTACAATGGTACACAGCTAGTTCCAGGACAGCTAAGGCAGTCACAGAAAAAAAAATGCTGTCTCGAAACCCAAAAAAACAGAAAATAAAAAGAACTTAGTGGTTTTTTTTTTTTTTTTTTTTTTTGGAGAGAGTGTCTCCTTGGCTGTTTTGGAACTCACCTTGTAATCTCCGTTGACTCACAGAAATCGTCCTGCCTCTACCCCCAGCCCTAAGAGTGTTCATATTAAACACACTTTTATTTTTCCAGTTTTGTTGTTACTGGGGACAGTCCTGGAGCCCAAGGTGGCTTTGAACCCACTGTGCAAGATGACCTTGGTCTTCCAATCCTCAGAGTGCCAGGTTAACAGGCCTCTAATCTCCTAATCTCTTCACCCCGGGGGCAGGGGTCTCTAGGAATTCAAGGCCAGCCTGGTCTACAAGTGTTTGTACCCAGAGAGCTAGGGCTGTTATACAGAAAAACTCTGTCTCCAAAAACCAAAAAGAAAAAGAAATAAACCCACAAATATTTCAGTTTAGCCGTGCATGCTTACCATTGTAGTCCTTAAAGGCTGAGGTAATAGGATTAGCATTTCACATGTAATACTGATGTTTACAACAACAGAATTTTCCACAGGTAGCACTTGGGATGCAGAGGCAGGTGGGACTCTATGCTTTCCGGCCAAACTTGTCTACTAGAGCTAGTTTCAGCACAGGCTCCAAAGCAATAGAAAACCCTGTCTCGAAAAAAAAAAAAACCAAAAATATATATGCATATATTAATAGATTGGATCAAAATATTTCCTAAATCTCAGAGGGAGTTGGATACCTGAGTTCTGTTCCCCTATGCCAGATCTTAAATATGTTTTATGGTCTATGAGGGGCCCTATTCCCGGCACTCAGGAGGCAGAAACAGGTGGATCTCTGATTTTGAGGCCAACCTAGTCTACAGAGTGAATTCCAGGACAGGGAGGACTGCTTCACAGAGAAACCCTGTCTCAATAAACAAAACAAAATAAAAAATGTTGCTGGCCAGGCTTGGTGGTGCACACCTTTAATCTCAGCACTCAGGCAGAGTGCCAGGTAGGTCACAGTGAATTGGAGGCCAGCCTGGTAAGATTTTTTTTTTTTAAAGAAGACATTCATTTTTATGTGTGAGTGTTTTGCCTGCATGTGTGCATTTATATGCAGCGCATGCGTGTTTGGTGCTCTGAGGTAGGCATCAGAGCTTCATAACTGGAATTATGGATGGTGTGAGGCACCAGGTGGGTACTGGGAAACTGAGTCCAGACCTTCTAGAACAACATGTTCTCTTCACCACTGAGCCAGCTGTCCAGCCTAAATAGTGAGTTGAAGCCAGCCAAGGCTGCATAGGAAGACCTTGTCTCAAAACAGAAGCCAAAATTCTGATGCTGACATGGAACTTCCAGTGTGGATGCAGTGGTTGCATTTTAGAATGCTGATGTCATTGCAGTAAGGAGTTCTCAGCCTGCAGCATTGTTTGCCAGCAGACGCCAGGGTGTCTGAGCCTAGGCACCAGGGAAGGTGAACATTCCCAAACCCGGGTGTGGATTTATAAAGCTTTCTGTTTAGGGTTTGAGATAAGGAAGATTTTTTTTTTTTTTTTGAAACTGGGTTTCACTGTGTAGCTTTGGAACCAGTTCTAGAAGTCTGTCTGTAGAACTAAAGGAGATCCACCTGCCTCTGCCTCCCAAGGGCTTGGATTAAAGATGTGCACCACCACTGCCCAGCCCTGGCTGATATTTTTTTGTTTAAGTCTAGATCTGAAGTAAACGGAGCCAACATCCAATTTTCTATGTAGCCAGGGCTGGCCTCAAACCCTTGATTCCTCTGCCTTCCAATTGATGAGATTAAAGGCCTCTCTCACCTCTCAGCTCTTACCATGCCTTCCTTCTAAGTTATTGCTACTCCCTCTTCCCTGCCTCCTGAGTGCAGGGATGGCGCCTGCATAGCAGCACTCCTGGCCCTATGGGGTACTGAAGGACACACATTTCCCCGAAGCTCCAGTTTAGCTTCTAGGATGTGCAGGACTCACTTCTCACTGGATGTGAAATGCAGCGCACAAACTGGAAATGGGTGGTAATGAGCTGAGCTGTGGCCATGGATGCTCGAGAAACCATTTTCCTGGGACCAGCAGGAAGTTCGAAGGGTTTGTGGTTCATTGGAGCATTGAGTGGAGTGAGTTAAACTGAGGTCTGTGCCGTTCTCAGAGCAGTGACTGTCCCAGGGTTAGCTCCCCTCATGGATGAGAATAGTGTCTCAGCACTCTTTTCATAACATGGGCTTCATTTTGGGGGGGGGTATATCGAGACAGGGTTTCTCTCTAGCTTTGGAGCTTTTCTTGGAAGTGGCTCTGTAGACCAGGCTGGCCTCAAACTCAGAGATCTGCCTGCCTCTGCCTCCTGAGTGTTGGGATTAAAGGAGGTGTGTGCCACCAACGCCTGACTGAAAGAGTATCTTTCTAAATGTTGTTCCAGGAACCTTCTTACTGAAGATTCATCAGGATGAGCATCAAGTCCCCACTCACACTCCAGAAGCTGGCGGAGAACAGCCTCCTGAGGAACATGACTGTGGCAATCTCTAATCTGGACAATATACCCTCAGTTTTTTTCCCATCACTGTTCAAAAAGGCCTGCAGAAAGAAAAAATATAGCATTGTGAAGGCAATGGTGCAGGTCTGGCCCTTCCCCTGCCTCCCACTGGGAGCCATGATCAAGAGAAATGATTCCTACAGGAGAATCTTAGAGATTATCCTGTTTGAGCTTGAAAGAATACTTTACCAGAAGGTTCCTCACAGGTGAGTAGACATGGATGCCCTGAAGGAAGGCCTTGAGAAATAAAAAGCAGAGAAAGCTGGGGACAGGTAGAATCAGGGTAAGAGAGTAGACTTATAGTGGGGTAGAAGTTTTGGGGGACCTACTTGGAGAACTTCAGAGGCTTTGGCCATTGCTGAGCCCTCTGGGAAAGGGCTATGGCATATACAAGAATCATGAATCAGCAGAGACTGAAAGACCCAGTCACTGCTCACACAGGCACTAGAGTGGGACTGGCTGGACTTAAGGAGAAAGAAGGGCGTGGGAATAGGGCAGTGGTTAAAGCCTCCATGCTGATGCTCTTCCCTGCTCTACCCCAGGAGGTGCAGACTGAAGGTGCTGGATCTACGGAGAAGGCCTTTGAGGATGTGGGACAAGAGGTCTGCATTCAAAGCTCCTGGCTGGAGTAAGAAGCAAGCAGCGGTGGGTCTTTCAGAAATGGAGGTGAAGCCTCAGGTGAAGGTGGCTATAGACCTGGTCCTGACGGAACGCCCAATAAAGTCCTTGGAGTCCTTTGTGGTTGAGTGGGTGGCGCAGAGAGAAGGCCTGTGTCTGTGCTGTAATAAGCTGGAGATCTGGTCTCTGACTACTTACTACCACGAAGATGTCTTAAGGAAATTGGACCTGAACTCTGTTCAGGAACTGCATTTGTATAGTAAGAATGATCTTACCTGCCTGCTTAACTTCTCCCCTTACCTGGGTCGTATGAGGTACCTGCGCAGTCTCCTGCTCTCCTGCCTTTGGCCATGGGACTGTCGCACACCTGTGGAGAAGCAACAGGTTGTTACCCAGTTCACCTTGCAGTTTGTCAAACTGAAGCACCTCCAGGCCTTGCATCTGGATAATTTCTTCCTGGTACAGGATCACCTGGAGGAGCTCTTCTGGTAAGGAGGGGCGTCAAGCAAATCCTTGTTCCTTTAGACATTAGCGACCACCTTCTCTCTGTAGCCCTGATGGATTAACCCTGCCAGAGCATGAGAATATCAGAGCATTGTATTGACTCTGCTGTCCTGGAGCGGGGTCTCACATAGCTACTAATCCAAAGGAGTAGGGCTGAGCTGCTGGTGGTTTAGAAAGAGGTACCATGCTAGGAAGCCTCTCAGGAATGAGATCTAGTAAGAATGGGGTCTGATTTCTTAGCAAGTGTCTAATGTGAATGGGAAAAAGGAAAAGGAGGAGGGCCGTGTAGGGGCACTCTGTACCCTGAGCTCTGCTCAGCTTGCTTCCAGCTCTCCATCTAGGACAGGCTGGGTTTGAAGATGAGGTGTCTGTGGTGCAGATTGGGAACAGGATTGTCCGGTATTCCCCTCAGCCTCCCTCTTGTCTCAGCGCCCTAGGAGTAGCATAGGTGTGTACCAAACCTGGCTTTGTTTGGATGTCAGAGAGTTAGGATATGGGAAGCGTGATGTCCCAGTTGAGAATTGGGGTTGGGGTGAAGTGCCGTGAAGAGGCAGGTCTGTGAACCCATAGGCAGATCCTTGGTCTTCTGTGTGTGGACGGGAATTGCTGTGTTGGGTTGAGCTGATCCTAACGTGATGGTGAAAGGCCTCAGTATGGATTAGATTGAGCAGACTCTGTCATGGAGCATGGTGGCTACTGGCTTTCCTTGTGTGATTGAAAGGATCTTGGACCACATCCCAAAACTGTCTTCTTGGTTTTTTTTGTAGGTGCCTAAAGACTCCCTTAGAGACCCTGTCGGTGACTAACTGTTTGATCTCAAACTCAGACTGGGCCAACATGTTTGAATTCCCGTGCACAAGCCAGCTAAAACATCTGAGTTTGAAAAGGGTCCAACTGACTCATTTCAGCCCAAAGC